AGGGGAATGCTGGCACCTCAATTAGATGGACTCCGGAATGCGTGGGAGGGGAGGCAAGTCGACCATGACTGGAAACCGACAGGTGATGGCGGGAAACTGCACGTAAACCACAAAACCGACAACCCCGCAGTTAACAGCGCAAGGGCCGCGCATGCAAACTGCCCAGAGGTGGTTTAGGAAAGGAGAAGTTTGTGTGCGTAAGAGTATAAAAATGGCATTGTATATTGGACACGAATTTTAGGCAATAGGGGATGGGAAGTCCACGTAAACCCTACGGAGCCTATTCGGTAGGTGTGTTTAAGGGTTTTTCTGACCATATAGGCCACAGGTCTTCCATTACGGCTACCTTACGTACTATTGTTTGTTCAGTAGGTGTGCCTGTGGTATTTTTTTTTGCCGCCGCGGCAAAAAAAAATACCACAGGCACACCTACTGAACAAACAATAGTACGTAAGGTAGCCGTAATGGAAGACCTGTGGCCGCTTATTTGGCACCGGTCGATTTTTTTTAAAAATAAGTTATTGTTATGACCTGGCCTGGCACTCGAAAGCACGCGGGAGCGTATGCGTACCCGACTCTTGTCCCCAATACCAATGCGGCAGAGAAGAAGAATGCGACCGACCGCGAAAATGTGTATTAGGAAATCGCAAGTCAAGGTTAACTGGAATTTACGCATATTTATAACGCCCTCCTGTGGTTCGCCTTCATTTGGCCCAACGTCCAAGGGGAAGAACATTCCAGACGGGCTGGTCGATAATTCCAATCCGATCAGGCCGATCAGGTCCGAGGGAAAAAAAGCCAATGGAGAAGCGCCACGATTAAGATGACAGCACTGTAGAGAAAAGGCACGTGGCCTCCAGTGATTGGTTGCCTCTTGTTTTGGGAGTGTAGGCACTCCCAACACCTCCCCTCCAAGTAGGTCAGTACCGTTTTTGGCTTGGACTGACCTGCATCGGCCGTGTTAGTCGGCAAACGCGGTTGATCCGGCGTCTTTGTCGTGGTTTATTGTCTGGAGACATGGGAGCAGTGACTGATACCGAGGATTGTACATCCAAAGGGGCCGCAGCAGCGGTTTCGGAAACTAACCGATCTGCCGGAATGGAGAAGGTATCCAGTAGGATGTCAAGAGGTAATGACGGCATTGACTCCAGCCCAGTTTTGTTACCGCCACGTCGCCGTTGGATCTGGTTGTGGTGGCGAACCCAGATGTCATCACCAACGTCGACGTCCAACAACATACTGCCTCCGTGTGCTACTACAGTTGCTTCAATCCAGTTTGGGAACCCCGCTAGATAATCACGAACGAAGACAGGTGTTCGGATGGAAAGCTTACTGCGAGAGACTGGAGAAGTGTGTGCGGGCTACACACCGGTAGGAAGGAGTGCATTAAAAGTTTACGCAGTTTTCGGCTCCTCAGAGCATCGGCAGGAGAGACGCCATCAGGGGACGCCGAGTTCGGTCGTGTCCTGTAGGGAAACAGGAACGCGTGAACTATCTCGTCCGTGGTCCCCTCATCACGAGCTTTAAAGAGGGCTCTCTTAAACGTGTTGACAAAGCGCTCCGCCTGACCGTTAGACTGAAGATGGTAGGTCGGGGAGCGAAGATGTTGGGTGTTGTGCTGGCGGCAGAAGTCCTCAAAGGTCGACGAAATAAACTGAGAGCCATTATCTGAAACCAGGACTTCCAGTAAGCCATGCTGGCTAACGATGCGTCGTAAGAAGGCGATAGTGGCAGATGCGGTCGCTGGATTCAGCGGAGCAATCTCGGGCCACTTCGAGTAGGCGTAAACCAAGATTAGGTAGGACACTCCGTTAAGTGGGCCAGCGAAATCGATATGCACGTGTGACCAAGACCTCTCTGGTGGTTGGAGGTTGAGGAGGCGGCATCTTGACAGCTTGCCGACATCCAGAACAGCGTCGGACCATGTCGTCGATGTGGCCGTCGATACCCGGCTAGTAAGCAAAACTGCAAGCAAAACATTTCATTCGGCTGGTACCAGGATGAGCGGCATGGAACTGCCGTAGTACAGTAGGTCGGAGAGCAGATTGGATCACCACACGGTCCGCAAACATGAGGCAGGAGTCAACCACAGATAGCGATTCTCGGCGGAGGAATGGCCGACGAAGATCGCCAGCGAGGGCATTGGTTGACCAGCAGGTCTTCACGTAGGTGATGGCCTGACGGAGGACAGGATCCTGTTCAGTAGCACGTCGCATGTCCGCGGCAGTGACAGAGGTACCTTGTAATGCGTCTGATAGCTGACGGCGCACATCGTCCTCAATCAAAATGGTGGCAAGCACGATGTCTTCCTCTGGTTCCCGATGATTGCTGATGAGGCGAGAAAGGGCATCCGCCTGACTAAATTCTGTAGTGCGACAGCAGCGAATGTCGAAATCGTAGCCAAGAGCATGATTGCCCATTGCTAAAGTCGGCTGGCTGAATAGACGGGAATGCCCCTCTTCGAACCAAAGATTGACAGCAGTGGTTTGTGATCCGTCAACAAAGTGAAGTGACGACCGAACAACAGTTTGTGGAACTTCTTGACGGCAAACACGAGGGCTAGAGCCTCTTCCTCTATTTACCTATAGTTCTTCTCCGCAGTAGTAAGCGTGCGAGATGCATGCATGATCGCCTTTCCAGATCCGTCAGGAAAAGTATGTGAGATGACGGCACCGACTCCGTGGTTGAAAGCATGTACAGCAGCAAAGACCGGCAGCATCGGGTCGTAGTGCGTGAGCAGTAGATCTGAACTCAGCATTGACTTAAGCTAGGCTAAGGCCTTTCCACAGTCGGGGGACCAGCACAGGGAGCATCCTTCTGCAGCAGACGGTTGAGCGGCGTCCGTACGTCATGCAGCAATGGTAGGAAAGCGCTCTAGTAGCTGATCAGGCCAAGGAACGAACGAAGTTGCGATACATTCTTGGGGCAGGCATCCGTTGGATGGCCCGACTGTTTTCAGGATCTGGATGGCGACCAGTGACGCCACGAACGAATCCAGGGTACTTGATGGAATCGAGGAAGAATTGGCACTTGTCGGATCGTAGGCGAAAGCCATATTCCTGCACGCGTTCGAGTACTGCGCACACTCGGTCTTGCAGCTCGGCAGGGGAGCGACCCACGATGATCATGTCGTCTAGGTACCCAGCTGTGCCAGGGATGCCGGAGAGCATTGCGTTCATCGTTTGTTGAAATAGGGCCGGGGCGGTCTTGACACCAAAATGCGGCCTGGTATATTGGGACAGACCGCGGTGGGTGTTGATGGTCAACAATTCGCGCGACTCTGGGCGACCTCGATCTGCAGATACGCATCAGCGAGAACCAACTTGGCAAAGCAAGTACCACCATTCAGCAGGGTCAAAAGATCAGTTGGAACCGGCAGTGGATAGCAGTTCGGCGTCAGCACGGCATTGAGACCAGTGGAGAAGTCAGCACAAACGCGAATCCAATCACTGAGCTTCTTAACCACAACCACTGGAGCGGCCCAGTCGGAGTAGGATACAGGAACCAGAACTCCCAGTTCCTGTAGACGCTTCAGTTCAGCCTCGGCAAGTGGTAGGGCTGCATATGGGACTGGTCGCTTTGGATGGAAGACTGGTTGACTTCTAGGAGACAGATGTAGCACAGCCTGAGTGTATGTGCAACGACCCAGGCCGTCTTGAAACATTGGGGCAAACAGCTGGAGAATGTCTCTAGCTTGGTCTGCAAGCACAGTAGGAATCTGCACCTGACTGCAAACAACGCGGAGCGGCATATCGGCCAATCCAAGTTGCTTAATCCAGTCAAGACCAAGTAGGTCGAGGTTAGACTTGGTGCTGTAGCAGATCGCAGTGATGCTGGTACCGCGAAACAGCACACAGCATTGTAGTTGCCCGATCAGCTGTACGAGACCACCACACGCACTTTTGGCGGACTGGGAAGCCTGCTGCATCATGGGTTGTCAAGGGACTTCCAGAGTCTCTCAGATATGATAGTGATATCTGAGACACTGTCAAAATGTAGGCGAACTGCATGACCATTGAGCAAAACGTCAACAAACTTTCTACGACCATACGCATTGAGCTGGAAAGCGGCCAACAGACTGAGAGAATTACCAACGGACTAATGTTTGGACTTTCGTTTTTGCCGAAAACTGTGCCTGGAACTAGAAGTGGAGGGAGCTAGCTTGCCTCCAGAAGCTGACACTCATTTGCAAAGCCCATCGCGGTGTCCCACCTGATTACAGCTCTGACAGCGATGCTGGCGGAAAGTGCAGTCCCCGTGGAAATGCCATGCACCTCGGTGCCGATAAGGAGATGGCGAAGATCTCGCCTTGGACACTTGCTTGGGCCGCGATTTGGTCGATGTGACCGTACGGACTGAGAAATATGAAGCAAGGTTCTGAATAATTGCGGAATCGTGCTTGAAGTTGATAAGCGTTTCGCACTCTGTTGCCAGCTCTTGGAGTGTGAGTAAGTTGTTCTGCTGCACTTCGGACAGGAGACGTGTCCGGATATCAGCATCCTTGGAGAACTGGAGGCCGCAGATAAATATAAGGCATTTAAACTGCTTCGCCAATTTGTTATGACCCAGCCTGGTACTAAAAAGCACGTGGGAGCGTATGCTTACCCGACTCTTGTCCCCAATACCAACTCGGCAGAGAAGGAGATCGCGACCGGCCATGAAAATGTGTATTAGGAAATTGCAGGTCAACGTTAACTGGAATTAACGCATGTTTATAACGCCCTTCTGTGGTTCTCCGGCATTTGGTCAGGCCGGGACATAATGTGGCTGTCTAGGATGTGAGATCAACTTACCACGCACAATAAGTTTGTTTCGTCTAATGTCAGAAGTCAGGGAACTGTGAGGACTAGTTTATTCTGTACACAGGGCAGGTTGCCGTAAGTGGGCTGTTTGCTTGCAACAGAGATAATCGTCCGTTCACGGAGAGTGTCAGTCGCGATGTTTGTTGTGTGTGGGTGTCTTGGTCAGCAGGAGGATTGACTGTCTGAGTGTTGGTCGTGTGGTTGGACAAATTAGGGGAGGAATGGAGAGCACATACTCACAAGGCCTCACGGGAATCAAGCCAGAGCGTTCGACGCGCGTGAGATGATACTAATTTGTGAGGGCAGCCGGGAGTCACTGCAGCTGGACAGGAGTGGTCCCAATTCTAGCCGGTGTGGTTGGTCGTGTGTCAGCGGCCTGTCAACGCTTGTCGCGGCCATCGACCGACAAAACGGAGCCGGGGAAAAGGGGGACTGGAGCGGCTACTACAATAACAGTTATCTTACTGAGTATCGCGACGGTACTTTCATAGAAAGCAAAAGTGAATTTTCAAGTAAATTTCATAACAAGTAGACATATTCTGTACAGTATTCAGTTCACGGTTGCAGAATAAACGGTCAACGAGCAGTGAAAAAGTCATAATGGAAAAGACAACATGCATATCAATTGATTAGCTTTTAAGGAGGAGGTAACTGCCGCTAATTAAAGGGCAAATAAGCGGGTCGAGCAGGACTGGACAGCATATGATATTGGATAAGTGATTCAAAACGGAAATCGTAAAGTCAGAATTCCATAACTGGATGAGTCAATAAGCCTCGACGTGGCCAGGCGAGAGAAACCTTGACGCGATCGGTCACAGTCCGCTTAGAGTCCAGCCAGTGGGGGTACATTAAACGTTAGGGCGGTCATCAAAGAAGAGAGGGAAGGCTGCGACTATGAGACCGCTTCGCTGAACGACCAAACTACTGGCAAATGACAAAAACAGGATTCGATCGTGATCGTCCGCAGACCACTTGAGTTAGAAATGCAGGGCTGACACCGAAAACCGTACAAATCATCGATTGTCGGCGAGGGTTCAAAATCGTAGGGGCCAGAGATGATTCCTGATGAGGGTCAGCGATTAGAGAAACGTAGGAGGCTTAAAGCGTGCACGTTAGTCTGGCTCCGCCCCTTTTTTGAGAGGATTCGTCAGAAATGATAGCACGTTCTGTGGGGGACACGATGTATAAACTGAAAAATCGATTAATTGACATTTCTGATGAAAGATCCTAGAAAGTAAAATCCCAGAGAAAAGGGAATATGAGCGGATACGTTAATTTGGTGGCAGCGTCCTTAATTCCCGGTAGCCTTTTCCCAATGTTATGCGGAAAGTTGTCCGAAAAAGATGAGGGAAATAAAAGCTTAACGGAGCCAGTATTCAGATAAGGACGCAGCGTTAATCAAAAGTATTAGTGACTGAGAACCAGAAAATATTTTTATTGTATAAAAGCCATCCTGTTACTGACCGACTTTTTCTCCGGTTAAAAAGACAAACGAGAGACAACAGTAACACTCTATCCAGCTTGTTTCTCGAGACACGGTCGTAACACTTTTTACTCACGAGGTCAACCAAAATTGCTCAAATCAACCCGCGCAGGTCGACTTCAGGCGTCATTAGTTTTCTTGGTAAAGACTGACAACGCGACCGCACTTTGTGAACTCTTCCTGTCATTGCCACTGCACTGTTTTGGGCAACCGTGTTGATGATTTTAAAAAATCCGTTTGTAGTAAAAAAAAGGCATGACGTATAATTTCCTGCAAGAGCCAATTTTCCGTGCCGGGTTGATATTAGGACTAAGGTGAGATTAAAGGTTGATGTTTAAAGGGTAGGGTCATTTTTGTGATTCAGAGATAAGTGTTTGTATTAGTCTTGAGGGCCAGAGCCAGATGTCAAAGATAAGGGTAATGGTTCGGCGAGAAGAACCAGACTTCAGATTTTTCTTGAGTTCAAAAAGTAAGGGTTATGGTTAGTGTTTAATAGTTTATGTTAATGTCCAACAGTGGAGTTAGAGTCCGGTCTGTTGCCAACAGTTATCATGGCTATGTCTGGCCTCCTTATCCATGGCTCACTGGCGTCAAGTTCACTCACGTTCTCCATGAGCAGGTCCAGACGCGCTGACCTGCACTCATTCGACAAACCAAAATTCGGACGCATGTGAGTCCACTGTATCACAGCTGCCCATGCGCCGCTCGAACTCATTATCCCTTGCGACCGCAACACAAGCCATTTGAACACAATTCTTCGATAAATGCAACACACGCCAGTTAGACAACACTTCAGATTGCCCTACAAATCTTTAATAACATCTGACACTACAACCCCACAGACTCCCAGGCATGATTGGATGCAGTCAACACCAGTCCTGGCTTCATCACCTTCATCTGCCACCGGAGAGGACGACCCATCCTTCTCTATTCAATAAACCCAACCAACCCGACCAACAGTTCTACCAATCCACGACTTCATCGTGAAGCAAATCGATGGTTGGTCAACTAACCGGTCTCTTGAACAGACTCAGGCGCAATAGTGCCATATCACTAGACGAGTGACGAGAGATGAAACCAACGGATGCGTCACTGGCACGATTTTATGGATTACCCAAAATCCACAAGTCCAATGTTCCCCTTCGACCGATCGTTGCCTTGAAAGGCAGCCCCACTTATAATCAATTCAGATGGGTGGCCCGAAGACTTAACTTTCTCCGAGAGGACTTGAGGACCTCCATCAGTTCGGCCTCCTAATTCCTAGTCGATATCCGAGGATAAACTATGCGACCTAATCCAGTTATGGTGTCCTTTGACGTGGCCTTATTATTCACATCGATTCCACTGGACCTGGCACGTGATGTTCTACGTAAACGACTCGAAGAGAACTACGTCGATACGAGCAGACCTCTAAAAATCGACCAGTTGTTGCAACTTTTTTGCTTTCTGCCAACAAACCTTTTTCACCTTTAGTGGCAGAACATACGAGCAGACCGAAGAAACACCGATGGGTTCGCCAACATCCAGTCCGATGGCGGAACTAGTCTTACAGGAGCTGGCACCGGTACGCAGATGACACGTTCGTTATAATTGAAAGGAGTAGACTAGTAGACTTTCAAGACCTCCTTAACGGTATCTTCAGTTCATAAGGAAAGAAGAGCATGCCGAACAATTGCCTGTCCTTTACGTTCTCGTCACCCGCACACCCAATGGCGAACTCAGCACCACGGTGTATAGGAAGGTGACCAACACGACTCAGATCCTCATATATCATAGTAACCACCAAATGGCGCACAAACACAGCTGTGTTAGGGCATTCTCCCAAAGGGTTAAATGCATTCCACTAAACCGGAGGTAAGAGTACGAGAACTAAGGCTTCTTCGGAACAAAGTGGCAAGGAATAGCTACTTAAATAGCTTCGTCAGCCGCTGCCTCCGCACGCATCCACGGCGCACAAGCGGACGAGATCTGCCAGTACTCTGGCACCCTCTACCATATATAAACAATGTATACGAATCAGCGGAACGCATCGCTGGAGAGCTCGGCAATGGTATCGCCCACGGTCCGACAGCGATCATGCGCAACAAAATCATGCCAAGGAAGGACGGAATAGACGCGGAAAATTCGGGTGTCGTTTAGTAGATCCCATGTCGGGACTGCCCTCGTCACTACACAGGACACATCGGACGACGGCTTAGCTCGCGAATAACGGAGCATAAACGAGCAATTCAGAGAGGCGAGACGCTGTCTCAGGTTGTTAATCACACCCTAGAGGGAGGCCACGAATTTAACTTCGCGAGCACGCGGTTAATGCTGCGGGCCAGCAATAAGACAGGGAGAGAACTGCTGGAGGTCTGGGTGTCTGACATCAATTCCATCGGCGGACATGTCGATGTATCCCGCCCCGCTATCACGCGCTCCGTTTCTGCGGCCAAGAGGCGAGACCCAATCCCCCAGTCAAGGGTGCACGCAGGCACGCCGCCCTGAGACGACATGGACTTAGCCCTGTCGCGAATAAAACCCCTGCACTGCTACCTCCTTCTTTGTTTGACTACAAAAACTGCTCATCTAACACCGCATTCTCACAGTATCTGACGATAGCCTCCTGTGCGAGACCGAAAGCTCAGACCAATATAGTACTGTCCC